CACTAGTTTCAAACTGGCAACTACACTTCGAAACATATTTTGACGTATTCTCGATTAAAAAAATTAAAACTGATAAGAAGAACATTCTGGAATGGCTTATAGATGGCCTAGATTGTATGGATATAATCATAAAACCCGTAACTGTCGTTCGGAATACCCCGTGTTAAATATTTCGTGGTTGCATGATTAGAAAACACATTCCGACTGTTATTTTCATGATCTGGTAAGCGATGCTCTGATTGGTTGGATGAAAGGTCGTTCTGATGTGACCCGTAATGGGATGTCCTCAGATCTTTGTTTAGCGATAGCGAGAACTAAGATCTGATTTTAATGAGATTGATGTCAATTCTGAAATGTTTCAGTGTTTTGGGGGGATTAAAGTTTGTTACAAAAGGGAGAACACTCTCGTTAGGTTTATCTTTAGGATTTAGAAGATCACAACAGGTATGTGATTGAGCCTTGTTTATTGCTAGGGCTGGGACAGGTAACTCAGGTCCTCGGGTCGGGTGGTTCCTGTGTAGGATCCGGGTACCCACAGGACTACACGGACACGCCGTTAGTCACGTGATATATTGTTTAATGACAACAACCTACTAGCTCAGTGGTTACACTTCAAGTTTCTAAAGTTCGCATTTCTTTCTGACGATGAACACAATCTTTTTTACTTGTAAATGTATGAGTTGAGATGAAACTTCAGTCAACTTTCATGTCCGCATGCTCTGATCGATCTGATCCATAAGGTACTCATTCTATATGTGGGACATTAACATATAATTTCAAATCATTTATAAGGGGTATTCTGACAAAAGTGGAATTCAATTTTTGCCATTTTTCTTTGATCTGTACACTTTTGTGAACTTATTGGAGGCCATAAAAATTACTTTGCCTTGATTCAAATTAACTAAATAATCCTTTTCCTTTTTAGCTAGACACTGAGAATGTGGATACACTAATCTTTTAAGATTAAGTAATACAGATTTCTGTGAATTGTCTGAAAGTTTTATGTAATATGATTCTTCTTTTAAGATATCTAATGATAGCGTAGGGTTATAATTACAGTCCATAATGGCTATAAGTGCCTCTCTTATCAGCCAGCTTCTTTCATAACAACAGAATCTATAACCACACAATGCCATTTAGAAAGTAGTCAAATGTAACAAATGTCATATTTAGGATAACACGTTCTTAGAAAAGTACAGATTCTCGTACTTTTTTTAGGTGCAATTAAGGGTCTCACGGAGGCAGTGTCGGTTCGATTCCCAGACAGGACTCAACCCAAAAAAGTACGAGAATCTGTACTTTACCGAAAAAAGTATTATCCCAAATATAACATTTGTTACATTTGACCACTTTCTAAATGGCATTGTGTGTTCATAGCTTTGGCCATGGGAGATGTGCCAATTAACACTTGTCAGAGGGATACACAAAGTATGTGATCTAGACTACCAGTTGTCGAACTTTCATTTTTGTGGAAGCCTTGGTGGCTGAGTGGGTTAGATCGCTGACTTTGTGTGCTGGCAATTAGGTGCCTCACTCTGGGACTCAACCCCCCAAAAGTACAAGAATCTGTACTTTACTCAGAAAGTGTTATCCCACATATGACATTTGTAACAATAAAATCATTTTTTTAATAATATATTCAGAGCTGCTCGCACATTTTTTGTAATGTTTGATTTAACTCTTTGAGGGTTTACAGTAGATCTATGAAGTGGTTAATAACTGTCCAATACATTGTTATTACCAGCTTTTGGAGTAAAGGTGCATTTTGTTTCTAACTAATGAACTATCTTCATTACTGGCATCAATATCAAAATGATTTAGTAATTAATCTCAATATTCAGACATATCAGTTTCTTGTTCATGTAAATCTTATTTCATTGGAGTAGGGGTGAACTTCATACCTTTAAGCAATAAAGAAACTTCCTCCCCTGTCAGATCTACACAAGATAAGTTGATTACGTTTGGTTCTATTGTTCAGTCTGCCATCCCTGGGGGAGCCTCACTGTCACTAAAAACGAATGATAGTCTTGCTGATTAAAGTGTGGAGATCCATCTTCATCTTGACCACATCCTTGACTTTGGAAATGTCCTCGCCTCTTATCATGGGCTTGTCCTTTGGCCCCCGTAGATTGTGGATTTTGCTTTTTTTGCAACCTTGGCCTTGTTGTCTTCCTTGGTTTTGAACTGTATGAACAGACAATGTTTGGCCCTCACTCTATGAAGGTTCATACTCCAATGAACTCACACAAAGTGAAAGTCAATTCTTATAAAAAAAATTATTACAATTTCTTACCTCAAAGGATGTAGGCCAAGATCTAAACACAAATTTATTTAGTATGTGTGACTTCATGTTTACACTGACAGCCATACAACAACCAACTATATCACGGAATAAAATAGTTCCTCAAAAAGAGAGGTGACATGGGCGATGGATGCACAACTTGCTCTTCAGAAACATCTTACGCAGCACATGTGTTCAAATCATATCCTCATTAGATGAGAAAGGTCTGTAAAGAACTACCTCAGTAAGTCAGTCACAATGACAGCACATCGTAATACATTTACATCAAGTACAAGAAGTTGTTTCCGAAGTTGTTAATGAACCTGTGGCGGTTACATGTGTTAGTCATCATTGATCAACTGGCCGATCATTGTAAGGTGATTAAAGATGCATCAAACAGATGCTAAGGTAAATTCATAGATTGCTGGAGATGGTCACTGTCAGCCTAGACACGGATCAAGTCGATACTACGATAGTTTGGATGTGCATTTCTTTGCTTGTTCATTAGGATAGGCCGCAGCGAGGATATTCATGAACAATCATGCAGTCACGCTCTCTGACATTTCTCAATGTGCACTGAAATGCTGAGACCAAGAATAAAGGTTCTAAATGATCAGTAAGAACACTTATGTATGTTTTCGTGCTGGGGAATTCCCAGGGGTTTCCCCAGGAATGTGGAAGTAGTCCATCAGTGTTTACGTCATTTCAAGAACACCGATCTCGTGAAAAACGTATGAACGTCGAATTGTGTCGTTCATACACTTATGAACGTCAATTTTGGGGTCATGTGACATGTGGAAAAGAAGTATATCGTGTAAACTTCAAATTAAAAAATTATATAAAGATGACTTCCTGAATACAATTTGATGTTGCAATGTTGTACAAGTCCATTTTATGAACAGGGAATTAAGTTTGGTAATTTGGTATTTCGCGGAATATTCTTACAATTGTCACAGTGATTATCTGTACCTTTTCTCCCCATACCGATTGTCATATCTCGCCCACTCAACTGGACACTTCCCTCTCAAACATAACGTCGTCCAATTTATGATCGATGACGTCATCAAGTTGCGAGCGTATGTTCGAATCTCCAGAAATGATGTAATGATAGAACAATGTTTTATCATGAAATAAACCATGCTTCGTTCTTCATTGTTCTTTGTGATTTATCCTGTGGCTATCCTATATGGTATTTTATACATGCTGGCAAGGACGTAAGCTATCAGTCGTGTTTGGTATATGCTAATACAGTGAACCCTCTGTTGTCCAACACCTCACCTTACTAATGACTACTGATGGTAATGCATAGTTTAAGAGTGAGGTTTAAAGCCGCTTTTAACAGTATTCCAGTTATATCACAGCATGTCAGCTTAATGTGGGAGGAAAGCTCAAAGTGATGCAGGTCTCGGACGTTTACCACTTTGGTGAAACCCACGAGCACAGGGCGAACCATGATTCCAACCCACAATAATAGGTTTCTGACATGCCAAGGGACGCAACTCTGCACAGCGAATCGCGACGCCTTAGACGACCAGGCCACCGTGCCCCCCCCATAGTTTAAGAAGTTGTGTTAAGGAGTCATAAATTATGACTCCATCTGTTACAAGACCATCTTTACTTTACAACCAGCCAGCATGTCGAATTCCATTTCAAGTAATGCATAGCAGTTAACCTTGTTGCATGACAATAGACATTATTTAAAACAAATTACTGCAGTACGTTGAAATCATTTATTGTCACATAAGACATTTGGATGAGATTGTGAATCTCTGGAGTGTCCAGGAGCATGACACTACATTTCACAAGTAATCTATTCTGACTGTGTTCAAAGAGTTCCTGGCATCATAATCACATCTGTGACAAAAGAGTCCCCTCCAGGGTGAACACATGCTTGTCAACAGGCTGGCTCACTAACCTTTATCACTATCTAAGTCAGAACATTTTAACACTTTTACATTTTAATCGCTTGAAAAACAAAACCAGTGTATATTTTTACCATTTCCACCTGGCTTTGAAGTGTGTTGTTGATGATATGATACATTTACACGAGATGCAGGGACATGCACTATTAGAGGAAACAGCTTCATGTATCACATTACGCCAACCTCTGAATCCGATCAAAAAGCAAACACAGTTATCAGGCATGTAGCATTTTCAAAAATCAAACCTGTCACATGAGAAAGAATTTCTGTTAATGTTACTGTTTGATTCTGTGACTGTTTGAAGTTTAATTCTGGAAAACCATTTGGCTAAAAGTTATTCTCAAGGCTGTGTCCTTCAAGGACCAAGAGATATGTCTCGCTTTGATCTTGGTGGTTTTGTTATGGATGCTCCAAAGTTTTCTTTGATTTCTTATAAAATATCCTTTTCTATTACAGACACAGGAAATCGCTTCTATAATGGTAATGCCACATTAAATAATATTTAATCATTATTGAGACACCTTGTGTAAAAGCAATTGCTTATCCTGCCGACCTGGGGCTTATCCCCCTCATGGGGACAATGTGTGGAGCTGTGTCTTGGTCTTCCCAAGTTAGAGGTGAGGTGAAGTCGGGTTTAGTGTCACATTCAAGAGTATGGAAGCATAGCTGTGTGGCCAGACTTTTGCCAGTTTTATAGTGCTAGCCCACTGTGATACCATGCCACAGTTTAACATGAATACCCCACTCAGACACAATATACCGACTCCAAACCGACCAGTCCTTGGTTCATTACCCTAAATGCCGAGCTCCAGGCAGGGTAATAACAAGTGCCATCTTTTAGTGTCTTTTGGTATGACACAGTCAGGATCGAACCATGAACCTTCCACTCTCTGGGCAGATGCTCTATCCACTAGACCGCAGAGGTGATTCCAAGATTTGAGATATAGTAAAACCTGCAATTAAAATAACATGATATCAGAATATATTATTTTTAGTAAAATAGTAATTTAAGATACTATTTTTCCCAATCATTGCATCAAAATTCTTTTCTGTTATAGATTTGGGTATGTTTTAACGTAATCACCGGTAGATTGGGAGAACACGTGTGTACAGCTGATTGCTATTTCCAGCTTAGTTTATGAAACAATACACACTGTAATCTTTATCCCTGCATATAAAACAATGAGTAGCATAACAAGAAATACAACCGAAAAGGTAAATGTGTCTAGTGATGCTTAAATGCGAATTTCACATTTTCATTTACAAAGTTTGTTAAGCGTTGTTCATTCACCTGAAGCCATACGATGTAATATTGTTACCAACAGGAAAAGAGTTTGATGAAAGTGTAACCCATACATAAGCCGACCCCTTTCTTCAGAATCTTTTTTCTCTTCCTTAAAAATTGGCTTATCTACGTCATATGGGGTAACTGTAACAGTACTTTTGAAATAAACTGCATTTTAGCAGACACTAGTACCTGGATAAAGATTGTATATCATTGTATAAAATAATATCAATTAATTGCATGGTTATTGAAGGCAACTTCAGCTTCATGCTTGTGTGCGCGCTTGCACCCATCTTCCTGAGGTAAGGGAGTTAACTGACAGTGAATGTCCAATTACCACCCTTCCCGAACTAAGCTGGAATTTCTGGGCTTGGTAGTAGTGCCCCTAGCGGTTGTTATGAGTTATGTCCCTTATTTGTCCCTCCTATTGACCAATCAGATTCAAAATCTCATGGCACTTGTATTTGCTTCAAACATAATAGCGGTGCCTAGTCAAGACAATCTGATCGATCATCAAATCACATGATCAGCACCTTGCATCAAAATGTGTAAAGGTTTTCGAAAATATCTGTTGACGCTAAGTTGATGGTAGACATGTTTGCAAATCCTGCGATCGATCGAAAACTGCATGGCAGTATACGAACCATATGTTGATTTCATGACGTGATTTTGATTAGACTATGCATAGACTCGTCTAGCCAAAAAATAACTCCATAATTCCAGCCAAGTTTGACAATGGTAGAAACTGGACTTTTATAGTCAGTTAACTTGTTATTCAGCTGAAGTATTAATTTAAAGAGAGTACATGTCACAACTTTGATCAGGCTCGCTGAATTGTTAATGCATGTCATCATATCCCAATCGTGTAGATCGATGCTCATGATGTCAATCTCTGAATTGTCTGGTCCAGATTATTTACGGACCACCATCATAAAGCGGGAATATTGCTGAGTGCAGCGTTAAACAACAAACAAACAAACAAACAAAACTGCATATGAGATTCAAGTGGGTGGAAAGTTTAAAGTGAAGCAGACCTTTACCAATTTGATGGTAATTGTGCTGAAAAAACAAGGAGAATAATCTGGGTGAATCTTTGAATTCTTAACCCACGATTAGAGGATCATGGAACATGTTTATACGACCAGTTGAGCTTCGATGATCAGGAAGTCAAAGACCAATCCATATTTCCTCATGGCAATTCAAGGGCACAATAGCTAAGTCACCAGTACCCCATGCTAACCTTAAGATGCAATTAGATTGAGGCTCAGTATTCACAATATGCCTTGGTTGTATCTTTATCATGGTACGTGATGGGATGGACCATGACGCTCATGTTAAATGTTTGCATGCAGGATATTACCACAGTAATTGATGCAAGTCACGTATGATTCTATACAACAATAATATTAGTGACAAAACCATTTCCATAATCACAAAAATATGTTCTAAAAGCGGAGTCCATTGTACAATATATTTCTATATCATTTGGGGGGCCGGGAGGATAGCCTCATGGTTAAGGTGTTTGCTCGTCTTACCGATGACCAGGTTTTATTCCCCAAATGGGTACAATGTGTGAAGCCCATTCATGGTGTTGCTGGAAAATTGCTAAGAGCTGCATAAAAACGGTACTCACTCACTCACTCTATATCATGACATGTGTTTATGAATCACTAACAAAGAGTGATGATACAAGGTGTTTGCTAAAAGGTGAGCACATCCTGCCCCACCACTTGTGACTATGCACTATGTCCCTCATTCAGTCTTGCTTGACAACGGTATAAGGATCTATACCGAAACGTCGCTTTTTACAGTATTAAAGAAGTTGTTATCCATAAAATTGTGTCTATCTTAAAATCAATATGATTGAAGAGCCTAAGTTCCACATAAAATATTCATGATGACACCCACATTCTGTGATTTGAATGTTCTGTGATGGTAAGTTTTCACCTTTTTGAATGTACTTACATCTGTCATTCATGTTGTAATCTAGTTTATGAATTACACACATCATTACATTGTTAAACAATTTCACATGGAAATTCAAACTTCTATTCTTAAAATTATTTTGGAGTAAACATTACTGTTTTGGTATGATGTTTTTGAGTTTATTTTTATCAATATTGTTCTGGTGATGCAGAAGATGAGTATCACTAGTTTCATGTTTGTTCTTTGTATGTTGACACAAGAAAATATTTTTCCAAGGAATGCTATTTTTATCTTCCAAAACATTACTTCAACCTACAGAGGCAGATCCAGAGTTTTTTAAAAAGGGTTCCACATAATAACCTAGTCTTGCTCCAGGCCTTACTGAATGATAGGTCCATGGGTGTATAGTAATTCTATCCTTAAAATAGGCAAGTCTAGATAAGCTGACAGTACTAAGGACACCAGTCTCTTATAGGGAAACCTTGTTCTTATTATTTATATAATCTAGAAATTATGATTTAAACTAATAATTTTTGCCTTGAGACTTGTTCAAGTCTAACAAGAGTTTGCCACTAACGTGGCTATATATCCCCCGCCCCTGTTGCAGAATTTATGACATATTTAAATCTAAACAAACCCTAACCTTTTTTAACCGAGGTGGAACTTGTCATTGAAATTGTAAAAAGAAGAAGAGTTTGGAACCTAAGTCAATCTTGCTGCCATGGAAACGTAAAAAAAAATTTTTTTCTAAAATTCTAAATATCAAAAGCCACCAGTTCAGCATGTACCTGACAGACTTTCAAAGTTTGATGAAAAAATATTGAACGGTTTCTGGGTTATGCTCCGGAAACAAAACGTGACGGACCGACAGACGGACGGACGGATGGAGCCCGTTTCTATATCCCCTGCCAACTTTGTTGGGTGGGGGATAATAATAGCAAAGTTTGAAGTGGCTTGACCAAGGGTGCAGTTGGCATGTAAATTGTCTGAACAAACACAGTGGGGGACTGACAGCTGATGCTGGTACAAAGATGCTGGTTTATACACGTTTTTTTATCCCTGTTTCACTTGTTTCATTTCATTTCAATTTGAACTTGCATCAATCTCTTTTATATGTATCACAGGAGCTGTGCCCCTCATAGTTTATTATCCCAGCAGTGTTTTATTGAACAATAAACAACAACCACAAGTCATTTATTTCTTAAACATAGCACGCATAAATCTACAAGTACTTGTATGGTGAGGACACAATTGTTTCAAAATAATTTTAACTCACAAATATGATTGCTTGGCTGAAATTAAAATAAAAAGGCGTTAAAATTTATCATGTAGATACTGACAGTTACGATGCTCAAAGCTCAATCATATGTAAAATGCATAGGAGAGTATGTTTAGCATAATTTCTATAACTAAAATACTTTAGTTTCAAAAGAAATATATTTACTTGCTTACAAACTCTCACTTTATTATGCAAATTGTGTGAATGGCGGATGGTACCAGTTGATCAGAACATGCTTACCCTTTTTGTGAACACCTGCTGTCCTCACTAATTTTCAGCGTTTCATTCATATTGTATTCATCACTATTTTGCCTTTTACGCCCAATGGAATGTGTTTTGGCAGATAATCAAGACTGATTATTCTCTGGCATGGATGTTTTATGTTTACATCTGTTAACTAAATATTTTGGTGTGAAGATAAATTAATCAGGTATTATATTATGCAACCTGTTACAGTTCTAATCATGTACGCCTTCTTACATGTGGCAAATCATTTTAAACTCATTGCCACAACAACCTCCCTCTTTCACTGTGGAAACTTCTTGAAAATAGGCCGAATGTTTTGTAATACTTTCATAAAGGATATTACTGCATAATGACATGGTAATTTGTTATTAAAGATGCTTTTTGCTTTCCTACTGTGAAAACCTGTGTTGAAGAACACATATCTCATTATGAGGTCACAAAACTCATTTATTTAAATACCATTATGTCTGTAAAGCATTAATTACATCATATTGCTTAAATGTCCAGGTAGAACATTTGGATGAAAAGAGGAAAGTTATTTTAAAAATTGAATACTTTCTTAGAAGTACAATTTCTGAAGGTTCTGAAGATTCTTCTTGTGTGTAGAACCTTTACATTTGACATGGTGAAAAATGAGACTTCATGATGGATTAGTTATTTGGAGCTACTGGATGTGTGGTTTCTCCATGTTCTGTCAGATCTATAGTTTGTATAACCTTCAACATGAAATTGTCCAACTTTACAAACATGGCAAAAAGTTAATATTGGGTTTCTGTCAGTATAGTGTTCCACCTTCCATCTACTTTCATGTGATGTGTTGGAAGGTGAATAGTTTCTTACATGATTGATTGTGATACATTTTCTGCACATTTCAGTACACACTGGCTATAAATGTGGATATTTTGAGAATACATTCTTTACACACATCATATAGACAAAATTAATTTAATAAATTTTCAAACAATTTTCGATTTTCTCCCTTCAAAACCTACATTTTGTGGTGTTTTTACACATGTCATTTGTGTTTGGTAACATTCTGTTCCCGTGCAAAAAGCTGGAATTTAACTTATCTTTTAACTAATCACTTTAAGGAAATGGCAATTTAAAAATACTAAAAAAAAATAACTTGCCTCAAGTTTAAAAACAAATTGTTTGCTTGACATGTTCTATGTCCTGAAGAAAATGTGTTTTCATAAAAGATAAAAAAGTTGTGTGTC